AAAATCAGTAAAAAAGTGTTTAAAAGATAATTTTGCACAGTAATTGTAGAGAAACTTTTGGAATTAAAAAGACTATCTTACCACTATATATAATTTTTTATTTTAATTTTTCATAATTTACAATTTTTCTTTTATTTTTTCTCTCTTCTCTCTCTCACTTCCGGCTGCCCCACTGGTCACTGGCCACTGCGTGCAGAGACGGAGCTCCCCATCACTGCACGTGGCGGCGACAGATCTCCTCATCGCTATGCGCACCCCCTCCCTGTCGCCGCACGCAACGACAACGGAGCTCCCCATCGCATGGGAGGGGGGCTTGAGTGGTCGGAGGGGGAAGGGGGAGAGAGGGCGGTTTGTCCAATGGTGGCGATGGCGGCCTGTCGAGCAGTGGGTGGAGAGGGAAAGAGATAAGAGAAAAGGGTAAGAGTGGCAATAATGAAAAAAATTAAGGGTAGAAGAGTCCAAACAAATTTAAAACAGCTTTGATTTAATTACAAAATTGCCATTGGAAGCTGGAAGCATCCTTTCCTCTGCTTCAAGCTTTTTCACTATTTACAATTTAATTTAAGTAAAGTGGAAGCTAAAAGCAATTTTGCAAACATCTATAATCACTTTTTAATCATTAAAAAGCTAAAAAGTTATAAGCAGAAGTATTTGCAAACACCCCCAAAGTCAAGTAGTTGAATGAATTTTTAGCTGTTAGACGAATAGAAACCATCATTTAATACACCAAATGATATTTGCAAAACTTCATAACGTTTTTGAAATAAAGACAAGGTAATCTCTTGTACGGGGCTTTGAGCGCTTAACTAATTTAGAGGTTCCATACTTCCATCAACAATTTTGGCATCTCAAAATATGGGCAGTCAAGTGCATTGCACCAATTTGCTTTTTTTACACAGCAAGAAGATTGGCCTACCCTCTAACATATCTCTTCTAAACCTTTAACTTGTAACCACATATTCTCTAGTTCAGAACAACTTCAAGCTCACTTGACACACACATAATTGAGCATCAGGGGGGATAGTATAAAATTTAAAGGGAGCATCTTTAGAAATGGACCGAGTAAATACAACCCAGATATAAATAGATTCATTAATTCCAACTAATTGGTGAAATCAACAACTCTCCCAACATCCCACTATGTTTCATACACTAATCATTTCAAGGAAAATGAACTAGATTGAATTCCTCTCCTATAAATTGAGAATTATCCCATCGAAATGGACTATATAACAACTCTGTGTGTGCGCACGCACGCTTGCGTGTGTTTGTGTTTTAAGTCCTCCACTAGACCACAACATCGTTAGCACCCCCATAAAATTATTCACACGTTTGAAGAGACAAAAGAGAGTGGGCAACTCTACTTAATATTCCTCCATTACTAATGTCCTTCTATTTGAACAAATTAGCAGATTAGTAGCAACATCACCACTATGAAAAAAGACCAAAACAAACAAAAAGCAGAAAGACTTACCAAAGATAAAAGGAGTGGAAGAAAAAAGCCTGATGAAGAAAAGGCAAATGCTGCTTTATGCAGGCCTTCCACCGGTACAAGTATGGGAGGGGGAATAACATCTTTTCTTCCGTGGAGGTGGATTGACAAAGCCAGTCAAGTATCATGTGGAAAACCAGAGAAGTCAAAGAACAAGAGATTAGATGGATGAAGAGAAAAAAACTTGGAAAATTATATCACTTGCACTGTCTTTTCTTTAAAAATCAGTAAGCCCAGGAACAAATATTTACTAAATGAGTAAAATTCTAATCCTTAATCTAAATCCAAAATTCAATTACATTTACTGCCAATTTGTACAAAATTAGTTGGTGAAATGGGAGGCAATTGATAATTTGTGCCTAAAGGCAGAGTGTGCAGCTACATATCACGCTATTTCAGCACTCCGCAATCAGAACACTATTCAGGAGGATCAGTGATCAGTCAGAGTAACGAAATGACATTGTTTGACCTTTACGCAAGCACCAGACAAGTAAATTTCTAAACTACATCAGATAAAACTTTTTCACATTTCTATTACTCCCTGCCCAAGATTGTCAGATTTCGGAATGCTTTCTTTAGATTCTATCAGTTCTTGCGAGGTTTAACTTGATTCCCCAGGAAATAAGATGATACTTCCATAGAATAAGGCATATGTTCACCACGCTAACACTAAAATTGAATATCTAGGATTCCCAAATATTTTGCCAAGATAATCAAACCTGAGTACAAAATATATCACATAGTGAAATTCTTCCAAAAACAGACCAGGTGAAACATTATTTTCAAACTGAAAAACTAGAAGCTCAACAGTCATTGTGTATTAATTAATAGGTTTGACCATATATTAGATTTAGGAAGAATTGAAACTTCTAGAGTGTTAGAAATCTCATTATGCATGCAGCATGAGTAAAAACCTATACAAGAGAGGCACCTACAGTATATGGGCAAATTGCCCTCATTTAGTTAAGCTAACTATAGCTATCAGTAACCTAGATACAACATATTGAAGGAGCAAGTTCCATCAGAAGAAGTCATCGAAAGCCCCCTCCCGGTCACTTTCCCAGTTTTCAGCTCCTGCATAATGCAACATAGAAAGAGAAAGATATATATAACCGTTACTTTAAATATGTCCTATTAAAACAAAACTGACATCTAACTTCAGATACTGGTAATGACGTCTAGGGAATGATGGACAATGAATGGCTTTAAAAATGGAACAAGCAGTTATATTTAGAAATTTTCTCATGCCTGTCAATTGGATTCTTCAAGGAACTATTGTATTCTTATGCCTTGTGCCAAGGAGAAGCAACCTAGCAACCTAAGTTTCAGACTCAATTAAGCAGTAGGGTATCTAGCATAGACAGGAGGCACAAAGAATACTAGACTGACCTGACGCTTCCGCCGCTGAAAGATCCTGAACTATCAGCTGGAAAGTGTTGCGGTGGAGGGATGGGAAGTTTGCTGGAGTTGAAGCAGGCGCTGGAAAAGTAAAATCAGAGTCAGTGGATGTAGTATCCGAGGAAGCAGATAATGCATCAAGCCGATCATCTCTAGCGATAAATCCTGACGTAGAACTTGAGTTCGATGATGCAGACAAGATCATTTTCAGCTCTGACACTTGGTCCGACATGCAGTGTATCATCCTGAGACACACTAGATCATATCTAGTATTAGTCAAATGACAAGAGAGAAGTTCTATGTTTAGAACCTTATTAGAAATAAGTCACTGATTGGAAGTAATCATCTCAAGTATCATAAGGAAAATTAAATAATTTGTAGAAGTAAATCCTATAGCTAAGGCTCCGTTTGATAATGTTTTCTGTTTCTGGAAACTGCTCTCTAGGAGAGTATTTCACCTAATAGTCCATATATTCTTCACCATCCTTCTTCGCATATTCTTGTTAATTTTATATGTCCATTTTTCCCCCTCAGTTGTTGCTATTTTACATTTTCCTGAACTTAATAACCGAACTCCAGAAGATGAAATCCACTGAAACTCAAAAATTATATTTTACAGCATGTCAAATTAGACACAGGAATATTAATTGATTTTGGCCCAAAAGAAAAATGCTACCAATAAATTCAGAAGTATAAGAGATCCAAGAGAGGGGGGGGGGGGGGGGGGGAAGAAAGAAAGAAAGAAAGGTTAACTAATAGGTTTCTCTTAAATTGCATTGATAACTGTTACGAGAATTCTTAATTAAGCTCAAAGAATAAGAAAGACATATTGAGAAATGTAACCAATTAATTAATACTGCAAGAATGCATATTGTTCATATGGCTAGCAATACAATTTCCCTCACAGAGTTTCCATGCATCAATCCTTCCAAAGCTCACTCCATGGAACTAATTAGAGTAATTTAAGAAATTTAGTACATTTATTTATTTCATGTTAGGTGGAAAAATATCAGATGGTTTCAAAAAAATCACTTAGGAAGAAAGGAAAGACATGATCTTTTCCTCTAGAGACTTTACCTCATATGCAAGCTTGGTGTCAGTTTCCAATTACTAATCTAAAAAAATCCTTGAACTGCAATCTTAACTTTCATAAAATCCTAGTCAAGATAAAAATCAGATAGTGATCAAAACCAAAATCACATTTTTCCAGAATTTAAAATGCCACTGACAAATGCTTTTCTGGTCTTTATTTTTTTGCAACAAAAGCATATTGCTCAGAATGCCAACTTGCTGCAACTAAATTTTCTTGTTCAAGTAAGTATAGTTTATCTGATTTTTTTTTAAAGGCTCAAAAGATAAATATTGAAGTGATATTATCAAGATTCAAAATAATTACTCTTTTCTTATAGATAATAAATTGGTGATAGTTAATAAAAAAGAAAAGATAAGTAGATATTTGATTGCTTGCACCACCTAACAACATGCTCCGCATGGTGATATATTTTCAACTAACATCCTAGAGATTGATAGTTCAACTTGTAAACATTTGTCTATGTTAGTTTTCAAGATAAAATTATAATCTTAGATTAGGATTTTATTTTCATTTATTAAAACTTTAATTCCTTTCGATAGTTTAGAATTCATTTGTTTTAGTAAGTTTTAGGTTTTCGGTTCAAGTGAAGAAATTCTCGAGGCACATTTTGCTGGCTATGGTGGTGGAAATGATAGCCTCCTTTGTCGGTTTGTCCCAATATTGATCTCTCTCTCTCTCTCACACACACACACAAAATGGCCATGCTGCTTTGGTCCTTTTAGATGTTTTTTCATAAATTTCCTACATGATTTGGCTAATTCAATCATTATGTTATGTCCTGTGATCTTAAAATGTCATTTCCTTGTTTGTAAAAGGCTTGCCCCATTGAACAATTCTCTGGTATTTTAATGGGATTTACAGCAATTTCCTGGCAGTGTTTATCATCCTGTGCTCTTTGAAGTTATAATTTTCCTGAGTTTGTTGATCTATATGTTGGTTTTGAACTATTGAATTTAAGTTTTTGATGATTGTAAATGAATTGTGAAATGATTGAGAGATTGTGCACTGATGCTACCTGTTCAAAGATTCCTGAAGCTGAAGAACTCTTCTTTCAGTTTCTTCTAACCTCTTACGCCTTTCTTCACTTGTCTCCAGGGCTTCTACCAATTTCCTTTCAGATTCATCGGCTCGTTTTTTCTCTAAGTGCAATAGAGCCTATGATAGAAGGAGAAAAGAAAAAGGTAATGATTAAGGAACAGAATGACTAGAAGCCAGACTTTCAAGGAGAAGATTTATGTAAGGCCAAGCACGCTAACAAAATACTCAAGCTAAAACCAATTAAAATATGACTCTAAGGGGAAAAAAATAGATTGATTGAACTGTTAATCGGCACATGAATTCTAATAGGTGGTTGTGTTTATCTCAAACATGAAACCTATCTGTTCTACTACGACCAAACTAGGTTTAACAGCTATGCTGCTAGCAATCACTGTATTATTAGTTTCTTCCTAAGAATACTTATTAGCATTATTCCACAGACAGAACAAAATACAGAAAATTCCTATTTAACCAGAGGAACTACTATTCTAAAGTTGCAAGACGACAAATATCTGAAAGACAAAGGTCAACAACTACCACCAACAAAAAAAAAAAAAAAAAAAAAAAAACAATAGAAAACACTGATATGAGGAATACAAGATAAGTACAGATAGTGAAAGAAATCATTTGGGGTAACAATTCAGGGAGTGGCCAAGGAAAATCTATCTATTGAGTTCACCCTACCTTCATTTGATAAGTAATATAATCTCCTATTCCTTATGAATGATTCAACTTAAAGATCTTAATTGCTTGTTGAATAATGCTTGTTGTGCTTTTGTCCTCACCATTCCTTCAATTGTATTTTGATTTTTACAAAAATTGTAAAACATATTTTTTCTTTTGCTCATATGTATCTTCAACCCTTTTAATTCTAAAATTTCTCTCCAAAGCTGTTATTAACATTTATCCTTGTATTTGCTTCATCTATTAAAACAGTATCACAACAAATGGCATGCATTACTAAATTTCATCTCAAAAATTTTAATCAAAGAAACTAATGAAATGCAAAGAAATGGGGATATACATGAAAAATATTGCTCAAAGAAGAATATAAAAAATAAAAATAAAACCAGATGAAAATAGGAGGGGAAATCTATAACCCAAAAAACCTTCAAGTTTTCTACTTCCTCAGTTAGAGTCTCAATCTTTCCAGTATCTTCAATAAGCACTGGACTTGCTTTGACAACAGATAAAGCCCCTCCCATTTCCCTCTGTGCAACCTCGCATTCCTCAAGAACCAATGGATTTGTTTCACCAACTTGGCTTTGGAGAGCTTGCAAGGAATCTTGTAATTTTGCTATCTCCTGTCCTTTTTCCTCTTCCAAATCAACCTACACACAATTTTAAACTTAGTTGGAAGCTGAAGAAAATGCAGCATTACAAACAACAAATGATGCTAACCATAAACTTGTCATAGAAAGACATGGATCTAGTACTTCTTTGCACAAAATATATAGATTACCCTTAAACGTTTTTCCAACTGCAAACAAAGTGTGAGTTCTTCAACCCGTTTCTCAAGTCTATCCTTTGCTGCTTTTAGGGCACCTGTTTCTCTCGCAGCCTGTAAGTGTTGCAGATACACATAATTGTGAGAAAGTTTTTAGATCATATAGACTTCCAAAGCATCAGGTGGCAAAATTACCTTGACATTAACTTTTATGCCAGCAAACTTGTGGACTACAACCTATATAAAGAAGTGCACCTGGGCAAGTATTTGCACATATGGAGATAACTTTGTTTTGAGTATCCAACAGTGTCTCTCTGTCAAGTGAAATTTGGATTCATGAAAAATATTGTGCATTTTTGCTTTACCTGTGTGTTACATATTTACTGCACAGGTATCTTTCCAAGACATGGATACTCATTATTGTCACTCATTATTGCCATTCCAAGTAATTAAAATGCCCTAATACCTCAAGTAGCATTTACGCATGCTCAAAAGGGGGGAAAAAAGGAGTTATCATTTAAATGTAAATCAACCTACCACTTATTCTTTCAAGTTTTAGTAGCTTGTTATTGATTCCAAGAATTGGTGGAATGGCAAAGTGCATGCTCATTCACTTAATATTAAATATAATAGCATGAGAACTTACCATCTTTAGTCTATGGAGCTCTATTCTGGCAATTTTTGCCCTCCATCCACATTGTGCAATAATTGCAGCTCCCTTGAGTTTCTTATGGTATGAATAAGCTTTATGTCCCCGCCAATGGGCCTGTAATTTTTATTTTTAAATGCACATCATATATCAGAAACATAAATCACATTGAGCTCAACCTTGCAAGAAATACAGAAACAACTAGTCATTGACCTGAATATATATTGATGCTTTCGTGTGCCTTTTATTTCGGAAAACTTTCTGCAAGACTACTGCCGAGAACTTGAGTTTGTTATGACGCATTCTGACAAAGAACCTTCGCAAGTTTGCTTGAATCCTAAGAGCAGCTGCCTCCATTTTTCTGTTGATATACACTTGGCGCCCAAGGTTTCCTAAGAGTTATAATGGAGTAAATAAATGACAAGAATCCTTGAGACATGAATGTAAGAGAGAAAACAGGCAACTAAACCATAGCACAAGGACATAAATAGAAATAAATAAAAATAAAAATATATACATATGTATACACACTATAATATTAAGTGAAAAAATAAAAATCCATCTGTTAACAGCAGTATCTTCTTGTCTTTGGTTCATGAAGCCAGAAAAGACATTCATTTCAAGTTTTCATGCTACAAATATTTGCTAGCGCACCTCTCAGTATAGATTGTATGCATATAGTAGCCTTCTGTAAAGCAATATACTTTTGGCGAGTAATATAGGTTCTACTCTCCCTTTGAATAACATTGGCTGCATTGTTAAGTTTTTCTGATCTCTTTGTATCTAGCTCAGCCATTTGCCCAGCTCTTAAGAACACCTTGGTTTTCCCCATCTGCAAAACCATTTATACAACATAAGAAGAAAGCATGAAGCAAGATCATTTCAAAACTCCCCTCCCACCTGATATGCGTACTTTAAACTTTATTAGAAGGCAAGAAAAAGTTATCTATTTTTTAGGTTATGGTTTAAAAATTTTGGTTTCCGACAGATGAAGAAATGTTTGACCATTTCAATGCAGCATTCTAGTATAGATAGTACTGAAACATTATTAATATGCCATTCAAATAGAACAATATATTATCACTTATAAACAAAACATGGTTCAAGATGGACGGTAATTGAGTTAAAGATTGAAATATTAAACCATGATGGCAAATTGCTTCAAATGCAGAAAAAGCAGGGATATAAACTTAATGAGACTCGAGACCATAACAGATATAGGTTATGGAATGAATGCACACACATTAATACAAAGCTTTAATTCATGAGGTGCATAGCCAACAAGGATAACTCTTAAACCTAAAAGTTGAAAGTGTCTGAATGACCTCTGCTGTAAATGAGACTTAAAAATTCTTCAATACATTGATTTTAAGTATGATATCATATTTGAATTTGCCTAGTTCCTATTTGTGTACACTGCAAGCAATTAGCTGAGGCCAACAAAATAACAATAGCAGTCATAATGATAACAAGAAGCAACTCAACTATCACATATTTTGATAATTATAAGATTTTTTTCACGAACATAATTAGATTATCAACTCATGAACTTCATGTTACCTGGAAACCTGTAAGACCCATCTTTTCCAAAAGCTTTCGGCATACATCTATTTCATCAAAACTGCTCATAGATCAAACAAAATTTTGATATAAGATCCTAACCATGTTTCAAAGATAAGAGAGCTTAAACTTCCAACTTGACCAAGCACCACAAATAATGTTCTTCAAAGAAGAAAAGTAATATATGAAATACTACTTACTTCCCTGCCAAAACCTCTGGTGCAAGAAGGCCAAATCGATTTATAAATTCAGAAAATGTCTTGTGAGTGGGGTAACCAGAACAACTTATTCTAATTGCCTCCAGAACACCCTATATTAAAATGGTCATTAGGTACATAATTTTGAAGCATATATCATGCATACAGTAAAATACCAAATCTCAAAATTGCACTCACCCCACATCTTAGTTGTTGTATGATGTTACCATTCTCAAAAATAGCAGGTTTAAGAAAATTGTTAGGCTTCACACATCTAATGTAGTGGGGCTCTGTAGAATTTAGTGTATCCATTAATTGTTGAAGTTGTAGCTGCATGGATTAAATATGATTATCAATTTCACACATGTGGCACAAGGTATATATTGACTGCTTGATAACACATAGCATACTTGACAGCAAGAAAACATCTTTAGCAACCATAAGATAGATGAGAAAACAATACCTTAAAATGAGAACCAATAGATGCAAACTTAGATGATTTGGAAGACGATTTGATTGATTCCTCTAAAACTGGAGGAAATAGGCCTGATACAAAAGAACATTTGGAAGCACTCAACAAATCTTGATGTTCAGCAACAACATAGCCTTTGTTTTTGTCTAGAAACTGTTCAGATTGATATTGAACCTGAAAGGGAAGTGTGAAAATACTTTACTACAACAATAGGCTGACTAAATTCTTAAGATTTTTACCATTAACAGCAGACCATTAAAAGAACACCATCATGATGATAAATAAATCAAAATAAAGGGAATAGGGATCTAAGTCACCTCCCCAGCATAATGAGCAATGGTGAAATCTGTACGAGATAGTTTTGGCTTGATGAAGCGCTTGTGAGACTTGAATGTCTGGTAGAGCTTTTCTGAAAAGGTTTCATGAGTTGACTTTGGAAACATGCTGAAAGCAGAACAAATCCATGAGGTATACAGATGAAAACATTATTTCATATTAGATAAACAACCAGACATGCATGTGAATGTGTGTGTGTGCAGGAAAATGGATGTCCATGCAAATAAGAAGTACGACACAGTAATTGGCATGACAACAATGCAACACTCCACTGACACAGTATAAGTTTCCAAAGATAAGGACTGCAACATGACAAGAAACAACTAAAAAGTCTGTCTTTCCATGTGAGAATAAGAATAAAAAATTTACTTTCACATGGATAATATATTCATGTTAATTATTTAAGGTGCCACTAGATGTGCCACTTGTATATGTCAATAAAGTAGAGATACTATTGCTGGTGTCTTCTTTAGGAAGCCAAGGATTGACAAATAATTTAGAAACTACTAGATTTTGTGTTTGAAAATATAGAAGAGGCTAACAGGGGAAGCTCATATATTTGATACTTAATTTTTGTCCCCATTTATATAATTTTCAAACTAGCAACAACAACCTAGATGCCTCTTTGTGCACCAGAAGTAGGAATCAGTTTTCCCTTTATATCCATAGCATATTCATGACAACTAAGAATAAAAATATTAAACACTTAGTGATGCATGGTCAACAATTTAGCCATGAATTAACTAGTTCTATTGGCCAACACATCATAAAGATCCCAAGAGGCAATTCCACTACAAAGGCATGTTTCCTCACCAGGCTTCATCAAGCAAAGCAATAATCCCTCCAGGTTTCTGCAAAAGCCATGTGAATAGAAAAAATAACTCAAAAGATTGATTTGTTGATTACTGATGAAAGCAGTAATTCATGGTTTCAAAATTGAAGGCATATGAATCCGTAAATGGCAATCAGAGTCATTACATGTCCCATGGCTTTCAAAGAAAAGATCACTTGACATCACTGTGCCAATTCTGGGAAAGTTTTCTTTGATGTTATCCACAAATAAAAACTCAAGCAAAGAAGACATAACATGACCATATCAGCAAAGAGATAAAGAGCTCAAAATAACATGGTCCAAGATACATGTGTCTCCCAAGTATCCGTTCAAGCTTTGCTTGCCATTCATGTGTGTTAGGTTATCCCTACCCACTGATTAAAACAGCATTAACAATTCACACTTCCCCACTGATGTTAATATCATGCTATACTAAATTTACTTTTCTGGCACACTGAATCATGAATTGAGGGGGTCTCAGCAGCCAAATAGGCTTTTGCACCAAACTAAACTAAATAGAGTCAACCTGAAAGAAAATTTACATTCTGCATTTTATTGTATTCATTTGCTAACCTCTTAATTTGTTGGCAGAAGAAACAGAGTAACAATGAAATCAATTAAATAATATCATGGCCAGCCTCATCTTAGATTCGACCCAACTAAAGTAGATTATTTGTCCATTTGGAATGACTTATTAGTTGCTTTTTGAGGGAAAACATTAAATCGTTAGAAATTCAAATAAGCTGTTGTATCCCTCTCCCCCCAATAAGAGCAAGCTGCTGATAAGCACAGACCAATGCATCTTAATTTATATGTTTTTCAAAGTGGCCATATAAACTACTCTGTAGGTGAACTTAATGAAAGAGAAGCCAAAATAAAACACTCAAGGACTTGTTTGTTTAGGGTTTTAATCCACCTTCTCCAAACCTACTTTGTTTGATTTCCTTATATCCACTTAAAAATGCAATCAAACAACCAAACCAACTCTAACTAAACCCACTTTCTCCGCACGTAACTTTATTTAAATGAGTTCAGGTGGGAAAACTACTTCCCATATTTCATTTTTGTATTTGTGATATTACTACAGTTTGGCAGAAAATAGTTCCCTCATAGCTGTGATGATTTCCTGGCCATCCATAGATTTCAGATTGCAAGAAGAATGTATCTAACCTGTCTTAGAATCATTGCATTTGGTTCTAGCTTAGTGCAGCTAAATTGCAGCTCAAGTGTTTGTAGGCAGTAAGTGAGATGCCAGAAATAGATTAATTGTGCTTTTAATCTGTTAAGTTGGGATGTGGTATCCTCTAGATAAAGTTCCTAGCCATAGATTAGGGTGAGGTAGGAAAGATTACCAACAAAAGAACAGAGTCAACAAAACATAAGTGTGATTGAGTCCACTGAAAGCCAACCCAACTGGTAAGATATAAAGAAAAAAGGACCTTTTCAATGAGATCTAGGACATCTTGATTATCAACAAATTCTATGTAGCTCCAATCAATCTCTTCTTTCATGTACTCCTCTTGCTCCATTTTGAAGACATGCTGAGTGACACAAGAACAGTAAGTTGAGATAGTGAATATAAGAAATATCAAATATGGTAAATTTACCTGGTTGAATTGTTGCTGCAACTTCTCATTTGTGAAATTAATACAAAATTGCTCAAAACTGCACCCATAAATATATTAAAACTTCAATGACTTTCACCAAAGTAAAACTAACTCAATTATCATGCCATAATTTTCAAACCAATAGCCTGTACCTGTTAGTTATGAAGCTCTCAAAACCATAGATGTCAAGGAGCCCAATCAAAGTCTTTGAATTAGGATCTTGTCCAATTGAAACATTAATTTTGTCAACCAACCTGAATATAATAAAAACCAATTAGCCTCAGCATCAAATCGTCACCTCAAATTGATTTTTGTTATTCTGAGGAATAGGAAAACATCCCAAGGCCATGCAAGTGAAAGCAACAATCTGAATAGTTCATTATACCAGTCAAACAAGCGGGAATATATGGTCTTTGCCAAACCATCCCTACTAACTGCTGCAGCAACAGGATCAAGACTTCTTTTAATAACTTCTTCTGGGGTAATCATTACACGTTTTAAGAGTGCATCTTCCAATGCAACAGGATCACACCTGTAAATAAGAAATAAACTTGTAAAAACAAACAATGACAAAAGGAAACTATCAACCTGTAAAAAAATTAAGGATCTAACTCACATGAGAAGTTCTGATGTTGTTTGAAGATGAAATTTAGATCTCTCATCTTTCAGCACAGATGAATCAATCTCTTCTCCCTTAGCAAATTCAACATTTCCCAGGTGAAGAACTGCTGCCACGACTCTGAAAATTGCATCCTGAGAGAGAAACCTGAATTATTCTCAGTTGGATACCATATAGTTAAAAAATGTATCAAAAATGCTTTTGGACTCTTGGCAATACCTGCTCTTGATGACTTATTCCAACGACATCCATTGCCCTCCTAGTAGCTAGATAATCATCAGCATCACTTACACCATCAAGTTCATAGCAATGTGATTGATTCAGATAGTGAAACATGCTGGCATTTTCCAGCTTATATTTCTCAATTTCCTGATGTGATTTGAGAAGTTTGAAAAATAAAAGGATGTATTGGCTACAAATTTAGAGATCACCATCAAGTAATCCACAATATGAAGGAAGAACATCAGGTAGAAAGCCAACCTCAGGTGGTGCTGCACAGAGAAGGTAAAAACAATGATAATTGCGTTCTAAGTCTGAGATTTGGCAAACACGAGATCGCTCAAGAAGATATGTTCTAATGGCTGCTCCAGAAATTCTTCCATACTTATCAAATTGAATTTCAACAAATTTACCGAAGCGACTGCATTAAGTGAGCATCAATAAGAACATACTGCCAACATATCTTGGAAAATGAACCATTCTTAAGTAAATAATAGTTAGAAAAAGGTTCAGTGAATGACTCAGGCATCTTACCTGGAGTTGTTATTTCTAACAGTTTTTGCATTGCCGAATGCTTCAAGAACTGGATTTGACTGCAAATAGTTAATAAGCATGCAAGCTACACATCAGCAACAGTTAGATACTCAAATACAGTACTAGGAAATTATCAGCAAAAGCCACCATGCATATCAAATTTAAGAAGGTGAAGGCTGCTTCAGAAAATAAAGAATCTCAAGTTAGTAGCTCCATCTTCTGAATCATCCACTTTTAAAATAATTAAAATTAAAAAGTTCAGAGTACATTAACCAACCAGCTTCCTCAGAGGTCACATCTAAGGAAGCATACTAATCTCATCTTCTGTCCACTACCAAAGTGAATTTTGTCAGCAATCACTTATATATTATCCCCCTCCCTGAAATCTTCATCCACCCAGGGAAAATATCTCCAGATGAGAAAGATGGCACAAAGAAAAGCAAATATACATGCTAATGCATAGATTGCTGGTTTTCCAAGGTCCATAATCATCAAACTATATCTCAGGGAAGATGTCTGCCATGCTACATCACAAAGTGTCACAAATTCCTTGGACCATGCTACATCACAGTGTGACAAATACCTTGTATAATTTAAGCAAAAGGAAAGAAAGGTCAGTTATTGAAGTGATGTTACTCTAAAAAAAATGTTTAATTATTTATATCTTGTAAGCTTGGACCCCATGGTTTTATACAGGTGTAGGGTTACAATCCTTTCGATTGACCCTCTATCTTAAAACATTCTGTTGTTGCAATGTAGCTACTTGCATATATTTTCTCCTTCTGCATACAAAATTCTTCCTTCATCTAATCACAAACGATAATTGAATTGTGGATAGTAATAAAATAAGAAATTCTTCTTTGCATTACAATTATTAACCCTCAATTTTTGAAATGCACAGCGCAGACCTCCCAGTTGAAGCTTCTTAAAAATAGGATGGATGTGAAATTATATTGTGTGCTAAGAAGAAGAAATCTTTAGTTGACTTCCTTGATACCAATCCTGCAGCAGTAAGCCCGCGTTTAGTGTCAATCAAACTTCTCGTGTTGTAGGTGGTTATAGCAAAGATTAATATCGAGCTGGAAATCTTCCAATGTTATTTTTTTCAAAAGATTTTTTACTGGTTAAAGACTGATTGACCATTTAAACACTGAGAAGCATGTAACTAGTATTAGATAGTGCTTCTTACTTCTAGAACTTGTTGCTCAACTGTCCTTCCTTCAGTGCCTTTATGCCCACCCACATAAGCCATGTAACGCATAAGCATCTTGGTAGTTTCTGTCTTACCAGCACCACTTTCACCACTAACCAAAATGGAGTTGCTTTTGCCTTCATTTACCATTTGCCTGGAACATGTCTAGAAATTTAATAGCCATTTGGAGCATTCCTTAAGAAAAAATTCAAAAGAACCCTAGAAATAATAATAATAATAAATAAATAAATACAAAGTCACCTATAGGCAATATCAGCAATTGCAAAAATATGAGGACTCAGCTCTCCAAGTGGCATTCCCTTGTATTGTTCCATTACATGAGTATCATAAAGGTCAGGAAGACTTTGGAATGGATTTATGGCGATAAGAGCATTTCCAGTATAAGTCTGTGATAATGTCAGATTAGGACTTAATATTATGACAGAGACACCCATAACTGCATTAGTTCATTGCTTTCTCTTTCCAGGGTGGAAATTAATAAGCTAATAATATGAACTAAAAGGTGAAGAAATTCTTACATAAATTTTATTGAGTCGATATCTAGTGGACAAGTTCTGCAAGACTCCAGGTTCGTGTAAATATGACAATTTAGTCATGTCATCAACTCCACCAGCAGGGGCTTCCACATCCTTGGGATAAATGTTTGACAGACTCGCAACAATCTGGACACAGAATGTATAAGTTCCAAGTAAATGAAGGACACCAGGGGCGTTCATGGATTTCAAAACCATGCCGAACCAAATCATAAGGAAGTTCATTTTTCAAAAAAAAAAAAAAGGTTTTGGTATTATGTATTACTGTACTGAATATTTATAAATCAAAAACTAACAAAAAACTGCACTAAACCGAATATTGTATATAATAATTTATTAAATTATTTATATTATATAAAATGATTAAATTTCTAAATATTAGTGATAATTCAATAGTAAATTAAAGAAATTAAAAGATTAAGAACTTATATGAAGCAGAGGTGCAAATACAAGGATTAAAGTGCAAAAAAGGTACAGTCTTGTGTGCTAATATGAAATATGCTACTCCTCCCACTGAATTCACATAATATTTTAATCTCTTGGCTACATTAAAATATGTGTGTGTGTGCGTGTGCACAAATCATGAAGAGTATAATTATATATGGTTAGTTATATACCAGTGAAGATTGTAACAGCTTGAGCAGTGTGATTGAGATTGGCCCTTGCCAATGGCAGTGGCAAAGAGTTGAATGTTCTTTCTGGGCTTTATCATTTCTTTATGCAGCCTTTAATTTCCAACAGCGTAAGGAACAAGCTTGCTGATGTATAATGTTGGTTACACAATATTTTCTACTGCAGTGCAGGAGAAGAACATTTGGTCGAAAATTACAACAACCATTCAATTATCTTTTTAGAGCAACTAAACTTTTTGGTGCACCAATAAACCTTTTCTTTACAGCTTCATCTCCCTAAATTAATTTTATCTCCCGAAATTCAAAATGACAAATTACTAAAAACCGAACCAAATGGAAACTGGATGAACTGAAGGGATTGGTATTGGTATAAAGATGTATGCTTTTGTTTTTAATATCAAAAAACTGAAAAAATTGTTACGGTATAAATGTTATTAAAAAAAAAATAAAAATGTTCACCCCTAAAGGAAACATAGGTATTGAAGTTCTGTTAACAAATGTTTATTCTAAGTGTATGGATATTAACTATTTCACATGGCAAAGCTTGAATTACATCCTAACTAATCTCTTTCTGCTAATGGTATGCATTTTCAGCTCTTATGGGAAGTGGTTACCAATGAGAGCAAAACAAGGACCATTAAGAAAAATAAGATCTTGTTGGAAACTGAGGACTGCATGCCACAGATTATCTTTTTTCCATTTATTGACCAGGATAAGCATATGAACCATAACATGAAATTTGTTTAAGAGAACCAGTGTAACTTTAACAGAAATACCCTTATGTTTAGAGAAAAGTGAAGAACATTAACAGTTATTTTTTCAAGAAATGCTACTTCAAACAAGAATATGCAAGATAAAAACAGAGATAGGAAATGTCTAACCAGCGGCATGACGATATTACAAACAACTAGGTTTCAATTCATAAGAAAAATTTTCAAATGAAGGAGATGCTTATTTTTGAAGATGCGAAATATACATATTTAAACACACAAGCATGTATGATCTAGCACATAAAATAAGCAGTAGCAGCTTAACTAACAAGTAATTCATCAGAAGTGAAGTTACTTGCTTGTTAAGGCAATGACTCCTAACCACAGTATAGCATTAGACCAATGCAAGAAAAAACAAAAAATACATAATCTGATTTTCAGAATTCTTTCAATTTTATGACATACTGATTTATTAGAAAAGAAAAAAGGTAACTATTACAAAAAAAGAAAAGGTAACTCTTGGCCATAAAGTATAAGAAATTAAATCAATTGAACAAGAAATTTCTATCCACTCATTTCTGGCTCAGCAAAAATTGATGGCAAAAAATAAAGCACATTTGTCAACAAATTTATACCTTTTATCTAAATATATTTACATATGTACCTATAAGATTGCATACAATGGAGAATCATTGAGTTCATTCATATTCTGGCAATGCCATCAATTATTTTAGAGCATTTGTTAATTGATTTAATAGACTAATCTTGCCTTTGGCTTAGAGAGAGTTTTAAGATAAACGAAAAGAGGATACTGTGCTCTAGCATAGATGTTAATCAAGCCTAGCTTGCTACAAATATATTCAATTTTGTTTTTGTGAAGAGCTTTAGTGACGATGTCTGCAAGCTACTCTCCAGTCCTAACATGTTTCATGGTGATGATCCCATCTTGAAGCTTTTAATGTATGAAGTAACAATCTACTTCAATTTACTTAGTCCTTTCATGAAACATAGGGTTAGAAGTAACATAGATAGCTGCTTGGTTATCACACCATACCACACTCCATAATAGGGATTGGCAAGACCCTAATTCATCCAGCAAGTATGTATCCATCCAAGGGGCAGGTGGAGGTTGTGAGTCTGGTGCCATGCAAGGTATCAACCTCTGTTGTAGTGCATGACAAGAGTAAACCTTTGTAATCGGTGGACAAGAAAACTATCCCTCTGTTGGTAAAACAGATTGATGTATAGTAAAGGTAAAAAAATCAATCCCCTTTTTTTACCTCAGATTCAACAAACTGCAAAATAGGAGAAATACATTACTCAAATAAAGTGACTTTATAAACACAAGATACCAGTTTAACACGGAGAGAAGCAAGGATACCCTTTTTGAACATTGAAATATCCCAAAAATACACTTTTCAAGGACCAAGGATCAAGTTTAGATAGATTAGGTTGAGTGTCATGAACAAAACACATGCTACCAAAACTCAAAGGTGAGAGGAAATAATGGCAGTGACGGGAAGAGAATAGTGTATGGAATTTAACTTCCAAGAACAATCAAAGGCACCCCATTAATCAAGTAACAAGCTGTGGGTATGGCATCTGCCCAAACTTCTGTGGTACATGTGAAACAATAATGCTCAAGTTACTTCCATTAGGTGACTATTCTTCCTTCCGGCTATTACATTTTGTTGAGGCATGTTGACAAAGGAAGATTTATGAAAATTTCCACATACCAAATAAGTGGAATAGGAATGAGAGAAGATTGCGGGTGCATCATCGCTTCTTAAGATGCGAATAGAAGAGTTACTTATATTTTTCACTTCAGCAACAAAGGCAATAAAAATAGATAACAATTCTAACTGACTTTCTAGATAGCCAAGTAAATTGAGAAAAAGCATCAACAAATATCGCAGAGTAACAGAAACCAGACTTAGACACAATACCTCAATGTCTTCAAACATCAAAATGAACTAACTCAAAAGTTGACACAAACTGTTTATTGACTTAAGGAGAAAAGAAAATTTTTTGGTTTTGGTAAGCTGGCACAACTCAGACTCAAAGTTAGATAAAGAAGACAGATTTGTACAACAGTTTGAGACACTTTAAAAATGGATGACCCAGGCAACGTGTAGTGGAAGTGGACAAATAGTACTAGTGCAATCAACTAATGATGACACTCGATATCTTCCAAAACATATAGGCCATTAGACTCACAATCTCTATCATTAATTCTTTTTCTTTTTTTCTCCCTAAGATCCTGAAACAAGCAATAACCAAGAAAAAAAGTGACAAAGCAATTCAAGTCATGGATTACTTTGCTAATTGTAGAAGATTAAAAGGCAACTAGGAATGCATAAAAATGAAGATGATGCCAAGGAAAGAGCGTAGACCCACCAGCTATTTTGACACTCGAAGAGATAGACAAGGACCGGAAGGAAGAAAGTATACCTATGATACCAGTCATGTGATTTATGGCACCCAAATCAATGACCAGTTTTGGGATAAGGTGGAGTGTTGCAACAGAAGAAGAGGGGGTATAATGCTTGGAAGCTTGAAACTGGGTATACTTGGTAAACTCATCGGCCAACACAGTCAGAGTCTTGGTCATTGGAGTTGGCACTAAAGGAAGCTCAAAATCTACCTTTATGACTATCTCAGCCATATATATATATATATATATATATATAACTTTAGAGAACAGATAATCACTCATCACAAAGGCTTATACCAACTCACTTGACCATCGCACACCCTTTATATTTTTGCCCAGTCGAGTAAAACAAACAGGTTTACCCACAAACCATAAAGAAACAAAACACATAGTCAAACTTGCAAAGAAGCAAAGTAGATAGCCAAACTCACAAGATTGCAGAGTTGAGTTGATTTGTTCACAATCATCAAAGTCATAAAATAATGAGTGTCCAGTTGGTTTACTTACAATCAGAGGCTCAAATATGTTGAACGCCACTCTCACATATGACATTTGGGTCCTTATACACTAATTGATCTTCACAGAAACCTCAGTGCCAAATTGCAACTTCCACAAACTGACCAGAGAACACCAATGTTACCAGTCAACTTTCACAGGAGCCTCAATGCCGCCATAAATCTTCATGGAAACCTTGATGGTGACCAGAAAAACCCAATGTCACCAAACAACTTCTCCTAAGTTGTCGATTCTCACTGAGAAGAGCTCTAGCAATCTCACCTAGGGGCTCATCAAGACCACCAAGATCTTTCTTCTCCATTGCACACTCCTAGCAAAAACTGCGGCACTCTCTAGGCCTCCGAAATTGGGTGAAAACAGACTCTTTCATTACATCAATGAGAAATGAAGAAAAGAGAGGAAAAAGATAGGGATTTTGTGAGTTGTTAGCAGTATCTAAGAGCAACATTAGGCTTTGATACCATGTAATTTTGGTTTTGAGAGAGTTTCAAGAGAGAAGGAAGTAGGTTAATCAATCCTTAAGGCTTTATAACACAGTCATCCTAGTGCTGCTTAGATAATTGAGAGGTATCAATGACCAGAACTAGATGGCTAAAGCTGAAAAACAAACTTCTGTAATTTTTCTGTAACATTTTCCACATAAAGGTATGCATTAACCTACTGCAGCCATGGAAAAACAAGATCATGTCCTCCTAAATCAATTTTCCAGCTGCTTTGGCAGGGCATGAGCCGGGGCAACCCCGTGGATGTAGCCAAGGCAAAGCCCTGGGGGGGCGGGGGCGGGCTGGTTGCCCGGCTCAGAGGCCAGGGCTTGGTACGTGCCATGTCAAGGCAATGCCATCGCCTGCCCGGCCTTGCCAAGGCAGGGCCCCAGGCAGTGTGGGTGACCAGCACTTGTTGCCCAGCCGAACATTGCCATGGGCGACCCAAGCAGACAGGGGCGCGACCCTGCCAGCCCGAGGCACGCCTTGGCAGGGGGCTGCGCCTCGAGCAGGGCCCCTGCCATGCCGAGGCGCGCAACAACCCGAAAAATTGTCCCCAAATTTTAAGAATGGAAATGTTGTAAGAAAACTGTTCATCTAAAACTCAATCAGCACATAAAATTTTGTCGAATAGAGTGCTGAACAAATAGGTTCAATTTATGGAAATGAATCAAGAAAAATCTAATTTCTGGTAGATTGAATGCTTTTTTACCATCTTCTCTTTAGTAGTTTGGATCTCAACTTCCTGTCCATCAATCCTTAAAACTTCTCCATCAATCCAAGCTTCCTCTGGATCTTCAACCCAAACATGAGAACCTACAATTACATTCATTGGACTACCCTGCATATAAAATTCAAACCAAGAATTCTTGAAGCTTAAGAAGTGAAATTGATATGGGGACAAATAAATGTTTCAGTTGCAAAAAAAGACGTTATATATAAAATGAAGTACCATTTGTAATAAATACATATTTACTTTTTACATACCCAAAAACATAGTTCACAAAGAGGAAGATAAAGAAAAGTTTGTTAAATCATACACTTCTCATCACTGAAAAGAAAAGAACTATTAAAGCTTAGAAAATCAAATTGTTATAAAGAGAAAAATATGTTTCAACTATAAAATAATAGAAAGAATGTACAGTATATGATAAACATAATATTACTCTATATATAACTAAGTTCCATACGTACGATTCATCCCGGAAATACAAACTTATACACAAGAATGATGATATACAGATACATATAATCCATGGATAGGAATGTCAAGAACAAATTTCATGTTTCAAGTTAATGAATTTTCCAATGCATCAGCCCCCAAGTGCAGTTTTAAAATGTCTTCAAGTTTTAAAAAATAAAATAAAATACCCTCAAACTTCTATAAGTTTTTCCCATACTAAACAGGAAACCTAAAATGGTTGAGATTTTCAAGTTATTTTTCAAGCATTGAATCACAGGGACACTTAAGGGACTTCTTACACTTCATATCCTTTCTGAAAATTTCAAAAACCAAAAGAAGAAAACAATAGCATGCACACTACTCTGAACAAATTAGATCCGTCCTCTGGTGAAAATCCAATACAAAATAAACATGACTAACAACTTTTGGTCAAACTATATAGCCACATGATAACTTACGGATGCCCCTAATTCATCAAAATGTAGCATCTCCATACCAATTGTAACAATCCTTACATGCGCTACTACAGATGATTCCTCTTTCTCTCTCTCGGGATTGGCACTGATTTCTCAAAATAAACTAACTTCACAAAGTATTCCTTTTCTTGCAAAGAAGAGATAGTATCTGCCAAAGGCCATGCCTTCTTTCCAATATATCATGCTTCTCGTCAATGAATTTCTCAAAAGGCATGCTTCTACAATTTATTTGGATTCGTGCCATCAGGAATTCGAAAGATTAATTGTAAAAAGCTGGAAAGCAAAACAAGCTATGAATATTAATGTTCATATACCATGTTGAATTGACCAGAAAATATCAGCTACATTGAATCATTCCTCCTTCTGCTAGCTACATTGAATCATTTCTCCTTCTGCTAATCTTGCGCATCATGAACCAGCACAACTCCAACTGCATTTACAAAGAAGAGACACTGACATTGGAAAACAATGACCTAAAACTCGTTCCTTCTTGGAATCACGAATCCGGCATCGAATGCCGGAGAATATAGCACTGATCGAACAGATGATTGCTGTGATGCGAAAAAGTTCTGCATTGAAACAGTCCTTTGTTGTTGTCGTCGTCGTTGTTGCACCCATGGTCTGTGCGCGACCTTGTCGTTCGGTTTGTCCAGATGGCGTAATAATAAAGGTTACAAAAATCCACCCATTCCATTAAATTTATTTAATTAATATTTTGCTTAGTTTTTATTATAAAAATAATTTTTTTCACCAATAATTAATAAATAATTATTTAACAATTTATTTAAACATATAAAAATAATATTTCACTTACGTAAATTATTTATCTGATTAAAAATTAATATATTATTTAATTTATTTAAAAATATTTTTAAAATTCTTAATTTTATTTTTTAAAATTAAAATCTAAAACTAACTTAAAAAATAAAATTTTAATATTTAATTTTACTATTTTTTTATTTTACAAATATTATTTTATGACTTTTTAGTTTTATTTAACTTTTTCTCCTTCTAATTTCAACATTTGAAATAAAACTAAATAATTATGAAATAAAAATTTATAAGATAATAAATTATTGTAAAATTAGATTATCCAAAGTTTGATTTTTTTAGGTTTTTTAGAATTTTCATTTAAAAATTAAAATTCAAAAAATTTAACCAATTAAGTTAATCAAATAATATTTTAATTTTTAATCAAATAAGTGATCGACAAGTGAAATTATATTACCCATGTATCTTCTTTAATAAAATTATTAATCAACTATTAGTTAAAAAGAAAATATGATTATTATAATAAAAATATGATGAAATATTATTTAAATAAATTTAAAGAAAAATACATATTTTTTATAATAAAAGGAAAAAGTTGGAATGTGAATAAAGAGAGGACTTTCAATATAACTTATAATGAATATCATGCTATGTTTTGAGGTATGCTTTCAATCACTCTTTGATGCGGCACTTGTTGGGTGTGTGTTTTATAAGTTATGAAATATTTGTGATGAAATAATTTTTTTTTAAAAAAAAAGAGAGTAGTATACAAGATGACTATTTATTTATGATATCCTGAACCAACTCTAGCTTGTATAATATCACTAATACATTATTACATGCTTGCGTATGTCATTACATGCATCACATGTCACAATAAATTTAAACTTAAGAAAAATTTTCTTTTATTTTTCAATCCACCATCTTGGAAGAAAAAAAAATTAGAGGATTTCAATAGATTTTAAGGGAGGCATAACATAGAGAAATGGAAAAGAAAGGAAATTTAGAAAAAAAACTATGTGGAAAGCTAGAATATATGGAAAAAGGATTTATTTAGTTATGAAGAATTAAAATATCAATTTTAGAAGTTTAGGTTCTTAATAGAGATCATAAGAAAAGGGAGATTTTACAAATTTTTGGGGCAAATTGATAAATGAAGGATCAAGGTTATTTGGCAAGAGGGTAGGAAGTGAAGGACCTATGAGCAAAATTTATTTATTATATTTTATAAATGAAGATGCTTTCCCGAGAATTCCATTCATTTTGCTTCTAGTCGGTGCAAATTAGAGTTTTTGAAAGAGAAAGGGGTTGTGAACTTTGGAAAAAGCTAAGGCTCAAAGTTAGGGATTGTTTGGCTAGAGGAGTCCATCTCATCTTCTCTCCTTCGATTTTATTCTTCTTTATCCCTCCTCCATTTTTCTTCGTTATTGGAAAGGTATCAAATAAGGAGGATCTTTTTTTTTGCTGTTACGTAGCTGTACAGTACTGTAGAACACAGCCACCAAGACCCAATAGGGGTAATAGCATTTCAATTATACAGCTAACCCAAAACAGTAAGCTCCTTCTCTCTTTTCATGTTTATTCTCTAGCCAAATAGACTAATTTGTATGTAATTTGGGTTGGAGATACAGAGCCTCATTTGGATAGCCAACTATTGCATGTTGTAATTGATCATTCTATCACCCAGGATGGAGTTTCTGCTACTATCTTCCCCAGCTATTGATAATTTTCAGTTTCTAAAGACTTTCAATTCACAAGTATTCATTAGTTGAATACTTTCTCTCTTGTTTTGGGAGTAAGCTAAATGGGTTTGATGTTACTTTGGGTTGGCAAATAAAATATTTGGCAACCTACAATTTGAATAATTTTTCAATTAAATAATTAGTCTCCTTTATAGGTTGTTGGGATAAATGGGTTTACACGGGATGAAACTTGCTAAATAGCATAAATGAATAGTTGAAAAGTGAATGGAGGTGAAAGCATGCACAGACAGGTCCACGGCGAGAAATAAAAAAAAAAGGGAAAGAACAAAGATGGTTTGCATCCTTAAATCAATTAACTCATGAAGTATATATCTATTGGCACATAAGTTATTAATATTTAAATGGGTGGTGAATATTAATTTGGGTTCCTACTACTTTGAGAGTCATTTGCTCTATTTTTCTTATCGAAGGTGGCGTTCGATTTGACTAATAAGGCTGATAAAGATAAAAATTATCAACCTTATCACACGTTCGTTTCGCATATAACAAAGTCAGATAAAATTTTTTATCAGCCTATCCTGATAACTTTATCCCACTGTGGAGTGGGAAATAAAATTTCTCCCACTTCCACAGTGAAATTTTTTTATCTTTGAGACAATTTTGCCCCTCTCTACGCTGGCTCTCTTCTGTGACACTCATCACTGTCGCCCATCCCTTCTCCGAGCAGGCGAGCTCGCAGGCGCTTGCGCGAGCAAGTGCGTGCTCGCACAGGCACCAGATCTGGCGCCGCTCGTGCAGGCACTAGCTCCGATGTCCAATGCGGGTGCTTGCACGAGCAGGCGCCGGAGCTGGCGTAGGCACCCACAGATCGGAAAAGAAAGCAAATCGCAGATCGTAGGCGCGGTAGTCCGGAGAGAAAATGTACAAGAGGGCAAATTGGTAAATTGTCCCTTTATCCGGTTTCTTATCCTGATCTTTAAAAATATAACCGAACAGATGATAAGATAAATTTACTATTAGGAGTGGATAAATTTTATCCCACTTTATCTTATCAGGCCTTATCTTTTCATACAAACTGAACGTGGCCTAAATTGGTTCTTATTGGGTATGTGGGATGGTTGGAATAAATATTTAGAGAAAAGGGGATTGTTCTTAAAATAATAATAATGATAATATAGGTATATATAAAATAACAATAATAATTTCAGATTTTATTTTAATTAAATAACTAACCCTTAGAGATTTCCGTAAGCGTATTTGGTATTTTATTTCAAAAAAAAAATTTTGAGTGTGTTCTACTTTAAACCTAAGGGAAGGCCCAGATTATAGGCTAAAGCTTGAAAAACTACATGAGAAACTTAGTACTTTATTGCAATGTTTAAACTTCCTAAACTAATATTAGGATTTTCTAGTAATTTAAGAGGATAGAGAGATGAATTATAAACCTTAAGAAACCACCTTAGAAAGTTGAATTTTGAATACAAGCTAAGCTAGGAGAGGATTAAGAGGGCTCACCTAGGATTAAATCAAGAATGGGTAAGAGTAGAAATAACCTCAACGCCAATGAGAGAAAAGCTTAACAATGAGAGTGTTCGTGATATATGGCATATGTTTTTGCACCTTCATTTCATCACATTCCACTCATATGCATCTTCTCTACTTGTAAGAGAGGGAGACCAAATCGAGTCTAACATTGGCCAGCCTGAGCCCGCTA